GAATGTGTCAATCACTCTCTGGTAGATCATCAATATCTTGAATTGGCTCTTCATAAATTTTATTTTTGGCGTAGCCCCACAGGTAAAAATCGAGAGGCGTACAATCAGGCGACCTTGGAGGCCATCTAACAGGTCCATGAGTAGTAATTAATTTTTTCGAGATATCGATATCGATTCTTTCACACTGGTTGACGAATCAGTGACAAAACTCGAGACAACGTTCATTATCACTAGGTCTCAACCCTTGTACTGTCACTGGTTTTTGTGAACGGCATTGTTTGTCCCGAAATAATCAACTTATATTTTCTCTTGACGTTTACAGAAATGTCACTTGGCTCCAATGATATGACTCTATGATAGTTGTGCCAGAATACATAATCATTATTGTTTATAGAGAGTTCAGCGCATAGCCTACTGGACATAAAAACAAAAATTGGAAATTAGTACTCCTTATAAGATAAAACTGTGACTGTGATACATCACTAGAAAGGAAATTTTATGCAGATTTCAAATCTGTGAAAATCCAATATGGCGTCTATAAGAAAAATCGAAGTTGTAGGTGATATCTCAGAAATTTGACATTTTGATGGAAAACTGACAAAACCATTCAGAAGAACAGCAAAAAGTGCTATGAGAATGTTGAAGTCATTTTTCGTAATATCAATAGTTTCCGGGATATTCTAGAAGAACAAAAATACAAGATTTCATTTTTTCTCGAATAACTCAAGAATGACTGAAGCTAGCCTGGATTTCTTGATAGATTCTGATTCAACATTAAATTTGCTAATTTAACCGTTTCTCTATCTCTCATAGTTACTGAGATCCCAATGGTGAGGATCGAATTTGGGACACACTGTATAGAAATAGTACATACAGTGTGACCCATTTAAAATGGAACCACCCCTGTATCTTGCGTTATCGTTGGGTAAGGATCCTGAAATTTGCTGGAGCAAGAGATATACCAAAAATGCACTCTATGACCAAGTGGGGTCATCTCCAGTGGTATACACTGCTCGCCAACAGCCATGAAACTACCCCAATTTCCGGAAAATGATATTAGGAGACAAAATAGGTCGAAAATCACTTCAGATTTGGAATCAGGACGCCTAATTTACTAACTATTCAAATTTTTCCTGGAAAATTTTCAGTTCGGAAAAATGAAATTTTGTCGCATTTTTTATGGAAGCACCCCCGTATCTCACGTAATTGACTTTATCTTTGGACTTTCTCTTCCTCCGGCAAATTTCAGAACCCTACCTCAATAATTACGTGAGATACGGGGGTGCTTCCATGAGAAGTGAGACAAATTTTAATTTTACTGAACTGAAAATCTTCTAGGAAAACTTTAAATAGTTAGTAATTTAGGCGTCCTGATTCCGAATCCGACGTGATTTTCAACCTATTTTGACTCCTAATATCATTTTCCGGAAATTGGGGTGGTTTCATGGCTGTTGGCGAGCAGTGTATATCATTGAAGATGACCCCACTTGGTCATAGAGTGCATTTTTGGTATATCTCTCGCTCCAGCAAATTTCAGGATCCTTACCCAACGATTATGTATATGTCACACTGTATATGGGCCTCACTAAGGTGACCTCACCACAGAGCCTGCCGGCCTTATTGTCTCCCGACAAGGACATACAGAAGAAAGCTGTTCCTAAGCTAGCGTGTGGTCTGGATGGCTTGGATTGGAGGATTGTGAGAAACATTCTGGAGGTTGTATTTTGATTCACTGGAGTTGAAATTCAGGTATGCTCCTGGAACTCCAAAAGAACTTCAAGAGAAAAGACAGTGCCATGATGTTGTCCCTATCTTCATAACAAGCAGAGTGCATTCCAGGAGGAACCATCAGGAAGGCAGGAGAACAATGATTACCCAGTAACAGGCGTCCTGAATCACCCTCGGAAAATCTCTATGATTCTAACATGTACCAGCATATTTCCGAACACCTAGGCGACACATAACCTGACAGGAGAATCTGGAATCATCTCTGAACAATCAATGGAACAAACAAGAGAGAGAGAATAGATATTGTTAAGATATTGTTCTAGAAGCTTCCAGAACAAAGGAAGGGTACAGAAGATCATTGGAGAAGAAAAGCCTGCCAAGGGATCTGATATACAGGGTGTCCGCTGAAAGAAGGTCAATCCATTAACCAAATATTCCTTGAACAAAAACAATATGAGTTTCTAAATACCATTTTTCATTGTAGCCCTTCATATTCGATATACAGGGTGACAAAGTTGGAAATTAAAAACTGTTTATTTTTAATTACTCGCGAATTTAATGAGATATTAATCTCAAAATTGTTACATTACTTCAGCAGGAATAGTTACATCGTGTGAGGAAAACGAAACAGAAAATAACTGTCAAATATTCAAAATACTGGGTGTCAAGTACACACTCACACCCATATTTTTTTTGTATGTGCGCTAATGCTTCCTATCTATTTTTCTTCAAGTGTTCTATTATTTTTGAGTAATTTTTATCACTTGTAAAATTTCGATAAAATTATTTTCCTCCGATTGGCAGCAAATATTAATTTTGCTGACACATATCGATCAGCAAAGTATTACTTTTCCTGCCTAGGCAGCAAAGTGGTTACTTTGCTAATTGATATGTATCAGCAAAATTAAAAATCCATAAATCGTTTATGATTTCCTTCAGATTCCATCCGAGACTTCTCCGGCAACCAATTCAACTCTATATTTTTTGCCACCTCCCTTATCAATGGAGGTGTAAGTATACTTCCAGGTCGCTATCACTGTCCATTATATAATAATTTAAATATACCGATATTTTTTCGTACAACTGTCAGAAATTTCATGAATTGTCAAACCAACAACTGCGATTTCTATCAAATTTTATTTTAATTGAACACTATACAGGAAGAATAAAGAGATTGTGGGAATTGTATTAATTCGCAAATACAATATTCTCCCATATCATTATGAACAATCGGAGAAAAAATTATATGTTCAACTCGGCAGCAAAGTAGATTGACTGCCTTAGCTGGATTCCTAGCCTCGTTACGCTCGGCTATGAATTCAGCCACGGCAGTCAATCTACTACTTTGCTGCCTAGTTAAACAAATAACTATTATTTTTGAGATAATTCGAAAAGTACTAGTTATTGTTTGATGCCTATGCGGCTTACGGTAATCTCATAATGTCCACATAATACTCCTATTTATTTCGTCGAAATTGGAAGAGGGCTTAACTTTTTACATACGAAAAGGTAAATATGGAAATACCGGGTGCTCAAAGCGAATGCAATAAAATGATTTTTACATGAAAAAAAAAAATATAGAAATTCAACATCTAAATGAATTGCTCGATATGACCTCCAATTTTTTGAATACACATGCGAGCCGCGAGCCTTCATAATCATAGAAAATCTTAGCCTATGAAAAATATATGGCTTATACACAAATTCTTTCATACATCCCCAGAAAATCCTGATCTGCTATTTCTTTCATCAAGTAGCTATTTAAATCATGGATATCATAATTTCACCTAAAATTTCCGAAAATATTTTTTTAAATTTTTTCCGTTTTTATTTCCCGTTCGTTCACGCACGACCTACCATACGAGAGAGGGCTCGAAAATATTTTTAAAAAATTTCGCAATCCCCAAAACCACTTCAAACCGATTTTAAAATTTTCTTAAAAAATTTGCTGTTCTCGAGAAAAATCAATTTTCAAAAGGGCGGGCTCGTCAATCGACCCCCCATCTTCCTAAAATCATTATTTTCCCGAAATTCTTCAATTAAATTAATCAAAAGGGCTCGCATGTGTATGCAAAACATTGGAGGTCATATCGAGCAACCTTTTTCTTAGACGTGTTGAATTTCTATAAATTTTTTTTGTAAAAATTATTTTAGTACATCCCGCTCTGAGCACCCACTATTTCCATATTTACCTTCTCGTATGTAAAAACTTACGCCCTCTTCCAATTTCGACGAAATAAATAGGACTATGTGAACATTATGAGATTACCATAAGCCTATGCATCAAACAATAACCAGTACTTTTTGAATTATCTCAAAAACAAATGATTTTATCGAAATTTTACAAGAGACAAAAAATACTCGAAAATGATTGATCACTTGAAGAAAAATAGAAAGGAAGTCATTAGCGCACGTACAAAAAAAATATGGGGGTAAGTGTGTACTTGGCCCCCAGTATTTTGAATATTTGACAGTTATTTTGTGTTTTGTTTTCCTCACATGATGTAACTCTTTGTGCTGAAGTAATGTACCAATTTTGAGATTAATATCTCATTAAATATGCGAGTAATTGAAAATAAACAGTTTTTAATTTCCAACTTTGACACTCTGTATATTGAATATAAAGGGCTATAATGAAAAATGGTATTCAAAAACTCATATTGTTTTTGTTCAAGGAATATATGGTTAATGGATTGACCTCCTTTTAGCGGACACCCTGTATAAGGAAAGCCGGCCAGCTGAGTCAATCAGGCAAGCAGCAAGTGTCAGAGAGACAGTCATATACCCTGTGATATAAATCGTTTTACATAAATAATAGTTATGAGTTTGCTATAAAAATTAGTGTTCCTTTAGTTGAAATAAATCAGTTCAGAAATAAATAGTGTGGTGTGGGCTTCTGCACCTGAAGAACATAAAATACATGAAATATACATGCTTGCCAACTGTCCTATTTTCTTCCTATATGTGCCCCTAGGCCCCTTTATTTGTTTCTATTATAGATATGAAATCAGCTATGAATCCTAGATATATTTTGAACCAAATTACCAAAGAGGTTAAGAGGTTTACTTGAGGGTTTACTGATAATGTCTAAAAGAGGTATACCTGAAGGTGAGCCTGAATGTTTATCAATGCTACCATCAGGTTAATGCAAAACTAGGAAACTACATATTATGACAACATTTTTTAATCTCTGAAGAAGTTTAACTCTGTTCTGGAACTTAGGTACCTACTTAATAGAAAATTAACTTTTCCATGTAAAAGCAGTCACTCACCAGTTGATAAGCAGATCAGAAACACTATACAATTGGTTTTTCTTGTATAAAACAGGATTGTTGGTCCGAAAAACATGCACTCATCGTCAGGATGTGCAGTTATGAAAAGGACTCTCTTTGAATGTCTTATTTCTCGGTTGAAAGATAGGTATTGCCATTTGATTATACAAAAATATAGTAAGGTGCATATTGCTATGTACAATAAAACAGCTACAGATAAATGTTCCACTGTATCTTCAAAGTAAATTAGTATTCTTGAGCAAAATTCACAAACAGAATCACTTATATCGTCAAATAAAAGCGTGGGGTCAATTCCAGTAAGAGAATAAAAACTAATTTTCATTTCAATTCAAAATTCAAATGATTTGACTTTTGTACAATAATAAACAAGATTGACATTTGACATTGACACCAAACAAAAAATATTAGTGACTTAATACATGAATGTCTCTCGCAAGTAATTCAATTAGTAGCATGCTGCTGCGCGGCTTGTTGTGATAAACCAAAGAGGACTAACCTAGGGTCCTTTGATGGAAATTGACGTTAAAGTCATCTTAACAGGATACGGACAGATCATCAGTGGGACTCTGTAACTCAAAGCGAAAGCGAAAGCATGCGTAATCGACTGCTTTTGCAGTTTCGGTACTCTGTATCAATATTCGGATGAGGTCGGAGACGCCGAACGTGAGTTCGTAAGCGAAGCAGAAGCGAAGGATTTTGGTTGTCGCTTTCTGCGATTCTCAACGATTGAGGTTATAGGTATTGGTTTTTGTCTGAGGTTTTTGTTGTTGTTCCTAGTTCGAACTTTGTGTTGATTTGAGAAAAATAATAGATTAATAAATGAGGAATGAACCCAAACATGGATAACAAAGCGAGCAAAAACACAACTCAGTCAGTGGGACAGATTCCTCAGTTTTACGAACAAAATCCTAAAGATATTCCAGAGAGATGGAAGTTCCCTTTGGTAGGATTAAGGTAGGGGATGAAATAACGTGAGACGTGTGATGAAAACATACAGCTCATTTGGTAGTTGAAAAATAAACTGAAAACTGTCATTGGTGCTGTTGAAAAGGGCTGGAATAATTCATATTCATTCGAATTATCCTTCTCTTTTAGATTCCTGATACATCAAAACAGGCAGATATAAGTAGCTTCTCCAAAAAATGAAATGTGCCATTACTGAATGTTGTCTCACTGAATCCTTGTTAAGAAAAATATGTCTTTGGTGTGAGTCCATTGAAGAAGACAATAATAGGTAAATTAAAGAATCCCACTAATATAATATGCCGATACCTACAACAGTGAAACATAACAGAAAGCCTGGAACGTTCAAATTTGAAAAATTTGCATAATGAGTGCATTGGAAGGGAAAATAATTTGGATAGCAAAAACCTTGGAGACACCCAAGAAGAACTGTGTAATATTACTGTGTACCAATAGGGGAGAATCAAGAGTAAATTCCATGAAACAGGATTAACTGAACATTATTTACTATGTTGAACAAGAATAAGAACGGATTCTATTTTCAATACATTAATAATTCCATCCAAGATTCTAAAGTGAACTGTAAGAAAAAGTGCATCTGTATAAATGCACTGTCAACATATAGCTGCCTTGCAGAAGGCAATTCAAGGAATTATATGTGCTCATCATCTTGTTTAATTTGCAACATAGAGAAGCAAGTTCTGATAGGTATTACATTATAGTATGTAAATAATAATATACTGAGTGTTAGATTATAGAATGATATGTCCATCTGTTCAAGTTTCTGTTATCAGTTTTCTCCACTTGAAAACGCACTGTATCATTCTGCTCGTGTGTGCCAGAGACAGACGTAACCATGAGGACAGTTGTCATATGAATGTCATGTTTTTTTTTGTTAAATAAATAGAATCGAATCTAGAAAAGAAAGAACTGTAAAACCGAATTCGAAATAAACTCTTATCATCAAAGATTTTGAATACAGTCCACTTAAACACTGAACATAACATTAAATGGTCCAATCGAGCGGGATCTACAGTGAACGATCAAGCAGAAGCTTCCATAAACGTCCAATTCCTGCGCTGAACTTGGATGAAAACTAAATCTCATCAATTTGGAACGTCGACTGCAGGTGGAAAGGCTTGTTCCCAAATATCGGGACTCCCCTCCGTAGTGGCGTGAGCATATCAAGAGGCATAAAAGTGAGAGGTTCCATTCATTTAATCATCATTCAACCTCTGTTTGTTCTGTTTCTGTTTTCGGTTTCTTTATATTGTATTCACTGAATAACTTTTCGACCTACTTCTAGTTGAAAAAATGGATTTGTTAAAACTAAACAAAAAACGAGGCCAAATCAAGGCTAGGCTTACGCTTTTCAAGAAATATGTTGACAGCATTGTGCGAATTGCTTCAGATCCTGATATCGAACTTGATAGAGCTACAATCATTGAACTAGAAATGAGGGTTGAAAAAGAAAACATATTATTACCTGAATTCGAAAATGTACAGGGTGATATTGAACTCGAGGTTGAAGATTTAGAGGAACAACTTCCAGAGCGGGAGAAATTTCAATCAATATATTTCAAAACTATATCGATCGCAAGAGACATTATCATGAATAAAAAACATATTCTGAATCCCGTTGACGATGAATATGTTGATGAATCCTCATCTATTTTATCAATTAAATCTGCAAATCATGCGATTCCTGCCCAAATTAATCAAACATTATCACAGCCCAGAGTCATGCCTAATATACAATTACCCAAAATAAAACTGCCCATTTTCAGAGGCACCTATGACTCTTGGCTGGAATTCCGCGACACATTTATGTCACTTGTTCACAAAAGATCTGATCTAGATAATATTGAAAAATTTCATTATATTAGAGCTCATCTTGAGGGTGAGGCTAAGCAAGTGATTCATTCAATCGAATTCTCTTCGGAAAATTATGAAATGGCTTGGGAATTGTTATGCGAAAGATATGACAATAAACGCTTATTAGTGCACAATCATTTGAAATATTTGTTCAATACGTCCAATTTAGGTAGCGAATCCTCAACAGATCTTCGTAAAATGTCAGATAACGTATCAAAGCATATTAGAGCTTTAAAACAATTGAATTTGCCTACTGATCATTGGGATACATTGATAATATATTTTTTAACTTTGAAGTTGGATAAAAAAACTGAACGCGAATGGGAATCTTTCAAATTAGCTGGAGAATTGCCTACATTAGATGAATTCAAATCCTTTATCAGAGGAAAGGCAGATTTGTTAGAAAAACTTGAATTGAATCATGGGGACTCTCGTAGTGAATTAAAGCACAATCAGAAACAATCGAACTATTTTTACAAATCAAAGCCTCCTCAGAAATCCTTGGTTGCCACTTACAGAATCAGTTGTGTATTCTGCAAATCTGATCATTATATCACTAATTGTCCAAAGTTTTTGGGACTTGAACTATCTTCCAAGTTAGACAAGGTTAAACAGCTCAAATTGTGCGCAAACTGTCTGCGAAGAAATCATGAAATCTCAGACTGCCGGTCAACAAATTGTAAGAAATGTGATGGAAAGCATCACACGATATTACACGCGGATAAACCCACTTCAAATCGAGAAGATTGTAAAGAAAATCCCAAACCATCGCATTCAGAATATAATCAATCTCAAAACTCTGTTTCAAATGTATTAGTAGCTTGTTGTGATTCCGTAAGAGAGTTTGAAAGTGAGGTGCTTTTATCCACTGCCATTATACATGTTCTGGATTCATATAGCAGACCTCATTTTTGTCGTTTCCTACTTGACTCTGGGAGTCAATCCAATTTAATCACTGAGAAATTTTGTAATAAGCTCAATCTTACTAAAAATAGTATAAACATTTCAATTGTTGGTATCAATGAAGCCGTATCAAATATTAACGAAAAATGCAATGTTTTAATACAATCGCTGAATACTGATTATGAAAAGTCTATTTCATGTCTGGTCATCCCAAAAATATGCGGGAATATGCCGTATAGACTTGTGAATTCCAAAGCTCTCAATATACCTTCAGAAATCGTACTAGCTGACCCTCAATTTCATAAACCTTCCGAGGTTGATATGTTGATAGGTGCTGAGATTTTTTATTCTATTTTGCGTGAAGGGTATATGAATCTTGGACATGGTTATCCATCACTACAAAATAGCATTTTTGGTTGGCTCATTGCGGGAACTACATCTATATCTGATCAAAAAACTGTACATTGCAATCTCAGCATGAATTTGGATATACAAAATCAACTAGCTCGTTTTTGGGAGCTTGAAGAACCCTATCATGAAGAAAAGAGTCTTTCTCAGGAAGAGCATTTCTGCGAAAACCTTTTCAATGAAACAACCAAGAGAAATGAGGAAGGGCGATTTTGTGTTGACTTTCCACTAAAGAATGACCCTTCTGCCCTTGGAGACTCAAAAACAATAGCATTAAAAAGGTTTTATTCTCTTGAAAATAAACTTCAGAAGAATACTCTTTTACGAAAAATGTACATAAATTTCTTACAGGAATACGAGCAGCTTGGCCATATGTCAAAAATAAGTGCTTCCAACGAGGTATCAAACTTTCTTCCCCATCATGGGGTTTTAAACGAAACCAGTGAAACTACTAAACTAAGAGTAATTTTTGATGGCTCAGCACCCTCAGACTCAGGTGTATCCCTGAATCATATTCTCTGTGTGGGGCCTACAATACAGGATGATTTGATATCAATTATTCTAAGATTTCGCAGTCACAAATATGTTGTCTGTGCTGATATAGAAAAAATGTATCGTATGGTACATATGAACCCTTCACAACGTTCGCTTCAACGAATTTTGTGGAGGGAAAATCCTACAGATGAACTTCAGGTTTTCGACCTTAATACCGTTACATACGGGCTAGCTTCATCCAGTTTTCTCTCAATTCGTTGTCTCAAGCAACTTTCAATCGAAAATGAAAAGGACTTCCCAGTAGCTGCTAACGCAATAGCTAAAGATTTTTATGTGGATGATTTCCTCTCAGGAGGAGAATCTGTTGAATCTGTAATAACTCTTTGTTCTCAGGTATCCTCCATTCTCAAATCAGCATGTTTCAGTCCCAGAAAATGGTCTTCTAATAGTGGTGAAGTACTCGAAAAGATTTCACCAGAGGTCTGTGAAGGTATCAGACAATTTTCGTCCAGAGAAAATACAAAAACTCTGGGCCTTTGTTGGTCTTCAACATCAGATTCCTTTAAGTATGATCTCAATAAACCTTTGAGCCCTGGGACAGTCACCAAACGAACCGTTTTATCAATAATTTCCCAAATATTCGACCCTTTAGGTCTTTTGAGCCCATGTGTCGTTATAACGAAAATATTTTTGCAAAAATTGTGGTCTCTGAAGATTGGCT